AACCCCAAACCCTAAACTCCCAAAACCCCCACACCCTAAACCCTAAACCCCCAAAGCCCCAATAAACCCTAAGCCCCAGTCTGGGGGATGAGGAGGCTTCTGGCTTTGGCAAGGGCCTGCCATTCCCACAGCTTGCAGACCAAAGCCCTGGGTACTATAGGGGCCTTAATGATTAGAATAGGGCTCCTTTAAAGGGGTTCCTTAAAAGGGTTGCACAAAGGCTTACTATAAGAGCTGCTGCTATAAGGGTTTAGGGTATAGGGGCCTTAATAATCAGAATAGGGCTTTGGGGTATAGTATACAAAAATCACAAGAAGGAACCCTCAAAATAGTATTGGTAATTATTTAGGCCGCTATATTAGTTTGGGGCTCAGGGTTTAGTCCCAGGGGGGTCCATCAAAAGGGGTTCTGCAAGGCTCTTCGTGTTAAGTTTTTGATTCTTATTTTACGGTTTGAGAATACGATTATTATTTTTTGCGGGCCCTGGCCTTCTGGTGTGTTGAGGACTTTCTTGGGCTTTCTGGTGGGTTCTGATCGCTTTCAGGGCTCCACCCTAAACCCTAAACCTTAAACCCCTAAACCCTAAACCCTAAACCCTGAATCGACTCCAACATCCTAGGGTTTGGGATTCGCTCGATTCTGCATCTGGGCTCCATCACTAGGGCTCTGGAGGATGATTAGGGTTTAGGGTTTAAGGTTTAGGGCTTAGGGTTTAGAGTTTAGGGTTCAGGGTTTAGGGTTTAAGGTTGTTAGGGTTTAGGGTTTAAGGTTATTAGGGTTTAGGGCATTAGGGTTTAGGGTTTAGGGCTGAGGGTCGAAGCCTACGCCTTGCAAATCGATGGATGTCGGAGTTGGGGGAGCTTCTGGTCAATTAAGCTTCGGTGTGTTCCGTGACCTCGGGTGCTGCACGGTTCAGAGCGCTGTTCAGGAGAGTGGGAGGATGGGTGGTTGAGAATAAAAAAGCGTTTCGGTGGAGCATTTAGGTGCTTAAGGTGTGGGATGTAGCTGTAGGTGTAGGGTTTGGGGGCTCCGGGGAGTACGGTGCCTGGCATTCAAGGATATCGGGTTCACAGACCGTGCCAGAGCCCTCCTCAAGTGCTGCTGGCTACTTCTTAGCTACGGTCGAATGCAAACAAGAAAATCTAATTGCCCCTTGAAGGACGGGACCTCGACGATACTCTAAACCCCACTGCCTCAAAATGGGCACCCGCAGATTCTTTAGATGGAGGGTGTAAGGGTGTAGGGGTTCGGTCAAGCACTTAGGCTTCTTGGTAAAGTTCATGGAGCTTTAAACGACGAGTGCATGCCAGCTGGCTCGGGCTGTAGCAGGTGTCCTCGTTGTCTGTGCAGTACACCGGGCAGCGCATGGTGCCTTTCAAGCTTCATTAATGGCTCAGGTGGTTCGAGGTGAAGAGAGATGTGGTCAAGTCCTGCGTTATCAAGACCGTGTGGGTGTCTTTTCCGCAAGTCCTGACGAGGTTGCGGAAAGCTCTGATTCGACGCTACACCCTAGGCGCTAGAACCAATGCGAACCCTCACTGTTCTCGTATCGCATCGGTTCGAATGTGGAAGGTCCACAGCCAACAAACCTACCTTGTCAGAAGCGAATGTATCCGGAAATCATCGCAAGCCAACACAAAGTTTGCCATTTGCACTGCTGTAAAAGCTCTCTAGCCTGGACCGCCCCAAGACCTGACGCTTTGCCCCCCAGCAACGAGGTTCGCACTCCCGTTCTTCGTGAAAGAGTACTTCGAAGCTTAGGCTTGCAAGTTGAGAAGCCGCGAGTACCTCTGCACACCCTCATTGAAAGGCTCTGTGCCTCGAATCGTGATAGACCCGAAAGCTTTGTAAGTCGAAGCCTCGAAAAAGTGTAGTAGCTATACTGTAAGGGCCTGAAGAATATGTATGGTTCCTGTATAACCCTCGGACTAGATAATCAGCATACCCTGCCAAGTCCTATTCCAACTCCGGCTGTTCGCGCTCCTACAATGTCTCGATGACTGCCACGGAATCTGCTCATGTGATTCATGTTCCTACCTTCCCGTTGCTCATCTCTGTCAATCGAGACTACTGCTGCTGCGCGTCTGCAACTCTTGCCGTTGATGTTCGTTGCTGTTGATGCTGCCGCTATTTGCACCGTAATTGAAAAATTGTCGCAGTGGACTAGCTGTTACAACTGAACGTCGCATTGTTGCTTGCTCCTGAACGGTAATACGGTTAGTGATGCAAGATCAAGTGCAGCAGAAGTATGCAGAAGTTAGGCTGACGATCTAAGAACCAGTGCAGCTTGCGACCAGGAAGCTGTTTGTCCAGTAGTCCACCAAAGGATAGCAGTAGTGGAAATCCTGAGCTGTTGGAGGCTTTGGGGAGCGCGCCTGCGCGGCACGAGATCAAGAGCTAAGGCTAAGGTTGAGAGTTTAGTGCTTGGCGTCTCGAGTTTCGGGTTTAGGATTAAGGCGATTAAGGCTTCCATCGAAGATTTCCAAGTAGCTTGTCCCATATATCCACAGCATCTGCCTGTATTCTGTTGCAGGGAGTTTTCCACGGCAAACAAGTGCAGGTTCAGTGGGCAAAGAAACTACAAACTATTGCCTCTTCTCCCGATCCCTTACCCACACCACTTCCCTTGACGAAGACTTGCGTCGAGGTAGGCATACGTGTTGCTGGCAATAACCACATCTACTGTTTACGATTTATGCATCATTAAGAGAAGCTAAGACGAGGAAAAGCTGGCAGTGGCTTCTACAGTCACCGAAACCTGCAGACGTCGTGAAGTACAGTACTCCAGGAAGACTCGAAGCAACCACTCCCTGGCCGGGGCTTAAATGCATTACACCCCCAACCCTTAAAGTTATAGATCCTCAAGTTCACAGAAATTTCTCCAGGCTGCCCAGTGGGGGTCATGACACTGCTGAGCGTTGGTTCCTTGCAGCTTCCAGGATTCAGGCCGATCCTACCCGGATTCTGCCGCTTGCGGCCCTGTGCCATAGGTCTTGAACTAAACGACTACTATTGCACATACTAAACAACCATTGCTGCTGATGAATTGAATAATAACATCTGTATGAACTATCACTATGAGAACCATGATAACTCTGGTTGCTGCTGTGACTCCTAAGCCCTGAATCCCCAAACCCTAAACCCCTAAACCCAAGTTACTAGTATTTTAGGCTGACTACCTTGCTACTATGAGAACTACGATTACATTGTTTCTATTACTACCCCAGACCGCCAAAGTAGATCCCTTAAGGGGGTTCCTATAACTATAGTAGTATAGGGTCCTAGCTTAGGAGATATACTTTCTGGATCCTTCCGGCGGTCTGGGAATAGATATTGCTAGCTAAACCCTAAGCCCTGAACCCTATACCCTAAATCCGGTACCCTAAACCCTGAACCTGAAACCTTGAACCCTGAACCCTAAACCCTGAACCCTAAACCCTGAACCCCAACGTCTCAGCTCCAGAATTGCAACCCCAAAGTCTCATCGACAAAGGACTGCGAAGCATATTGAAACATCCGGACTCATGGTGTCCCACATTTGAGGGTTTAGGGTTTAGGGCGTTTAGGGTTTAGAGACTCAAGGTTTAGGGGTCTAGGGTGCGGGGTTTAGGAGTTTAGGGTTTAGTTAAATCAATAAACACTACACCCTGCTCGAACGCACACTCGAACAGCCGGCTTGCACCTAAGTTCCCCAACGCGCTTCGCAGGTCGCAGTAAAAAAAAAACCTCCAAAGCTGTACTCGTGGTGTAGAGTTCAGGATGTTATGGGGCGCAAGGTCAGCGAAACCGGACGCACAACGTGAAGGCTACCAACAAACAGTTGACCAGCGGCCACAGGGGCAGACAGCCGTGGCAGACACGCAGGTCTCCCTGAAAGCACCCGGGAAGCCGTTCGTCCCATAGTCCTCGAATGTCGGGCGAAAGACAAAACACCCTAACATCCTGGTGCTCTTTTCATCACTGAACAGACGCTCGCCAAGTCATGTAGGGTTCCTGTTTCTTTGGGGATCGCACTAGGCCGGCTAGGCAAACTAGAGTGGGATCCCTTTCACCACTGTCAGAAGCTGCTATAAGGTCCTGTCTTGTAGATAGCAATCGCATGTCGCTGAGTTTAAAAAAAGCTTCATAGCGCTGCAGAAGGTAGCCCTCTGTAACCACACCTAGACAACATTAGCTCAATTCGTCATAACGTTAAACACCTTCATATCCTTCAAAAGCACCTAAACCCTAAACCCCTTCAACAGTTGTAAAGTTACCTTAAGATCCCATACAAAAAACTCCTAAACCCTAATCATAATCCTCTTATGTCAGCCCCGGGACCAGGATGTAGCAGCGCTGCTCGTCCGACTTGCAACTGACGGGACAGGACTCGGCCGTCGGGAAGCAGACCTCGTTGTCGTACCTCGAAGTGTGTGGTGCTTTTTGTTTGAAACCTCTTTTCCACCTGCCTGGTAAGTTAGGTCGAACGCCATGGATGGCTGAGGCAGTTAGCCAACTCCGTACTTCAGAACTCAAACACCCTACACCTACCCTTGCATACAAACCCCAGCACTGCGAGTATGGCTCACTACACGGAGCAAGCTCTACATGCAGCACATGTCCACGCAGTTCAAGCATTCCGAAGCCTCACAACGTAGAGACCCACAGCCCATGCCATCCGAGGTGCCTCTCCGAACTGCACAGCTGCTACAGACTCCGGAGCATTCACAGCTAAACGCCCAAGGGCCTAACAAAGCTTCCCAACAACACCTAATCTAGAAACGTGGAACGGAGGCTAAATGATCGAATGTCCGCGGCTCCGGCAGTATACTGTAGTACAGCCGCATGCCGCATGCAGCAGCTCTGCAACGCAATGCTTCTAACGAGGAGGGAGCCGTGTCAAGTATGGCTGCCATGACGATCTTGCAAATCACGCGCGGCACTAAATACTTTCGCAACGTGCGCACCGTATCTGCCGCAAAGGCAATCAACTCGCACGTGCTCAGCCTCTCAGATCCTTGCGACTGGAGGCGCACCAGCCTTTCTCGCAATGGCATGCACCATGCCTGACTCAGCACTGCAAAGAGCCTTCTCCTGCTCGAATATGCCAGGGGCGAGGATGACCCTAAACCATGACTTTAGACAAATTGAAGTCAAACTTCTCTCTGCCAAGCCCGTGCATCACGCGGAATCCGTCAAGAACCGATGACACCATGGCGTTGATGTCGTCCCGTTTGCCGCTAGGGCTTTGGCTTTGGGCTTAGGGTTTTGGGCACGGCTGAGGATATAAGGTGGTCTAAGGATCTAGGGTGTAGGATCTAGGGCTTCATGTGGACTTAGAGGCTTTGAGCTTATGGTTTACTTGACGGGCTTGAATTCGCTGTTGGGAAGGTCCTCGCAGGCCTGTTGGGAGAAGCTCCAAAACTCACGAGAGCCTCAGATATTAGCCGCATCTGCCCGTAAGCGGACCCACCCTAAACCCTAAACCCTAAACCCTAAACCCGAAACCCTAAAACCTAAACCCTAACCCTACATTCCGACCAAGGCCCAAACTCTAATCCCTCAAAAGTAGGTGCTGGAGTGAAAGTTAAGGGTAACCTCAGTGTTGGCCTAAACTCAAGTGCCTGCTGAACTCGAAAAAACAACAACGAAAACCCAAGCACACCACACGATTTGTAGGGTCCTCGGTAGTGGTCCTCCGTCTAGCACTTATAATGTTTGATTCTAGGGTTTCCGGTGAAGTCTTGGCGTCCAGCTGATAGAAGAGTCAAAAAGGTTACTGTTCGAACTGTCATCCGGGCTTACCGCGCAAGGAAACTTCACCAAAGCAAGTGAACAGGATCTTAAAACTAAGCGAATAGCAATGCAAAGCCGATTCGAACAGAGGTTCCGGGGTGCATTACGGTATCGTACTACATAGTTCGTACTTATTCAGGCATCTCGAGTACCGATACCCACGAAGCCTGTAAACCGACCTCCCTAATTCCCACACGCTATACCCTTAGCCTTAAACTTCTAGACACTATCTACACACCCCAACTACCTTCTACTGTACCTAAATACCCACCAGTCAAGACCATAAGGGCTCTGTTAAGGGGCACTTGGGTTGTCCCGGTAAGCCCTAAGCCGGCATGCTTGGCTGAGGCATCGACCCCCATTCATCCTTGGTTCCCGATGTGTGCGTAGAGGGTTGATGAGTTAGGGTTTAACCCTAAACCCTGAACCCTAAATCCCTAAATCCCTAAACCCTAAACCCTAGACCCTAAACCCTAAACCCTAAATTTGAGGTTTAGGGTGAAGAGGGGACAATCAATGGTCCAAAGTGTCATAAGAGCCCGAAGAATTCCAGGTACCGAAGAATGCATGCCCTGGGGACACTTTGGGGTTTAGGGTTTAGGGTTTAGGGGTTTAGGGTTTAGGAGTTTAGGGTTTTGGACCTTGGGTTAAGGATGGTAGTTCTGAAGAGAAGTCCTTGCGAATTTTCATGATTAGTAAGAAGTTACTTGCACCCTCAGGATAGGGGGCCTACACAACTCGACCCAGGCTGGACGCATTTTCTACGAGTGCCAGTCCTATCCGGAGGTGATCGCCCCTAAATGATAAACCCTAGACTAGATAAACCCTACACCCTAGACTAGACCCTGAACCCTACAAGCCAGACTAGACCCTAAGCCCTAAACCCCCAGAGTTTCTAGAGCTCTTACTTGATCTCCCCCCCTCCGAAGCCTTTTAGCCGAAGGAAGGCCCTGCGTTCTTGATCCCAAAGTTTAATGCTTTCCGAAACTAAGGGATACCTTATTTGGGGGTCCTTACAATAAGGATCCTAGTATTTAGGGTACTATATTAGGGTCCCCTTTTTCTCGGAAACCCCCATTTAGTGCTTCATCCGTTCCTCCGTAAGCTAAGGCCCCAGGAGCCAGACGAAGATCCCCCCAGGGGTTCGATAAGAACGTTCGATAGCAGGGTGGTTTAGGGTTTAGGATTCTATAGGGTTTAGGGTCTAGGGTTCTATAGCAGGGTGGTTGAGGATTTAGGATTCTATAGGGTTTAGGGTTTAAGGATGGTTTAGGGTTCAGGGTTCTATAGCAGGGTGGTTTAAGGCTTAGGATTCTATAGGGTTTAGGGCTCTATAGCAGGGTGGTTTAGGGTTTACGGCTTGACCTGTGGCGTGTTGGCGGTATGAGGATCAACATGATTTTTTGTGAGCGGGGCAGGGTTTTGGGGGGCATTGCGACAACCTACCCTAAACCCTAAACCCTAAACCCTAAACTCGAAACCCCTAAACCCTAAGCCCTGAGCCGTAAACCCTAACTTCTAACCCTCTGAGCCTCAAGCCCGACACTGCAAAAAATCCGACATAAGTCCAAAAGGGTTTAGGATTTGGGGTTTGGGAACCCTAAACCGTAAACGAGAGCGAGAGAGAGAGAGAGAGAGAGTTCAGAGCTGCCAAGAAACCTTCCATCTGCACATCTTTGCGTTGGCGCCACACGGGCAAGTCCTGACGGAAGCCGCACAGCTGAGGCATGCCACATGGGCAGTTCTCTGAATTGGGCTCCCTTTGTAGGTCTCCAATACAGTACGGTACCCGCGTTAAACGCACCCTGAAAGGGACCCTACTTTAGAGAACTGCTCACATGTCTGGGGTACTATAAGGGCCCCTGTGCTAAACACGAATGGCTGGAGGATCCCGGCAGGGCAGGTGGAGTACAAAACGGAGTTGGTGTCAAACCGGCTAGAAGGATGCAATTACTTCTCAAATCCCACTTCGATGATGCAGATGTGTGAGTAATTAGCAGAACCCAAACAGCATCGATATTCTGGCCAGGTGCTGGGAAACATTCTGGCAGCTCTCGTTCACGGGTGCATTCCAGTCTTGCTCACCTGAGCTGTAAGGGGAACCCCAAAATCCGACCTCGAGATCGGATCCAAGGGGTCTGGGGTTGCAGGTTTAGGGGTTCAGGGCTTGGGGATTCGAGCCGTTTCAGGTCGGGGGTGCAGGGGGTAGGGAGTTGGGGATCAAGGAGCATGGTTTGGGGATCAGGGATTGGGAGGAGATTGGGCCACAAGGCCTGGCGCGGCATCGAGAAACCCCGCTGCGGCTGTTGTTGGCAGGGTCGTTGTTCGGACGGGATCACGGAGCTAGGAATTTGCAGACAAGTGTGACCTCCTAGTAGGCGTCAGAGAAGACTCTTCGTATTTGCTGTACTAAACCCTAAACCCTACACCCTAAACCCTAAACCTAAACCCCAAACCAAACACCCTAAACCGAAACCCCAAACCCTAAACCCTAAACCTAAACCCCAAACCCTATACCCTAAACCCTAAACCCCAAACCCTAAACCCTAAACCTAAACCTAAACCCCAAACCCTAAACCCTAAACCTAAACCCCAAACCCTAACCAAACCCGGAGCCGCAAAAAGCTCGAAGCTTCTTCGGTTCGGGGTGCTGGCTTCCCAGGTTTCAGGTGGAGACAATGCTCCCGTTCGGCTACGACTTTTTCCTACTCTGCCCTGAACCCTGAATCCCCTAAACCCCTAAACTCCAAATCCCCCAAACCCTAAACCCCCGAAGCCCTAAACCCCCCAAAACCCTAAACCCGAACCCCAAATTCCCCTAAACCCTAAACCCCCGAAGCCCTAAACCCCCCAAAACCCTAAACCCTTCTCGCATGGCCACTCGAAATGCAAGAAACCCGCTCCAAGCATGGATGTGCAGGAGCCCACAGCCAAAATGCCGTACTGTAGGGCTCTAAAATAGGGTCCCCCCTTTAAGGGTACTGTAGGGTTCCATAAAGAAGGGGTCCCTGTAAGGGTGCGAAAGGGTTCTATGAAGGGGTCCCCTTTAAGGGGAGCAGGGTTCTACAAAGGGTCCCCTTTGAGGGGTACGATAGAGTTCTGTAAAGGGGGTCCTATAGGGTTCTAGAGTAGGGTCCCCTCTAAGGTTCTATAATAGGGTTCCCCTTTATAAAGAACCCATATACAACCCTTATAGAACTCTCGATGAACTACTAAAGAACCCTTTACAACAACAAAAACATCTCCCGAAGAACTCTTGAAGGGCCCTTCTCTCCACACCCGAGCATGGATTTCGGTAGTTCTCGAATTTAGGGTTTAGGTTTTAGGGTTTTTCGGTAGTTCTCGAATTTAGGGTTTAGGGTTTAGGGTTTTTCGGTAGTTCTCGAATTTAGGTCCCTATATTGGGTCCCTAACATAGTACGGCACCCGTAAAGAAAGGACCCTAAAAGGGACCCTCCTTTAGAGAACTACCCATTTGGTGGAGGAGTCAAAGGCTTGGTTTCCTGCTTAGGGTCCCTTAGGGTTGGGCTTTAGGGTTTTAGGGTTTAGGGTTTTAGGTTTTACGGTTTTTAGGGTTTTGTGTTTCACTGAACGCTACCCCAAAATCCCTAACCCCTTTTGGGAAGTTGTCTAAAATTAAGGTCCCGGTTAGGGTCGTCTTTATAAGGGTGTAGTGAGCCTAAACAGGAACAAGAATTCGAGAACTTCCCTATTGAGCCCAACTCTTCGAACCCACTTCTGCCATAGGAGTTAGGATTAGGGAGACCCTTGGGGATATAGACCCTCTCTATAAGCCCCCTTTTTACGAGAGTCATGAGTAGGGTTGAGAAGCGTCCCCTTTAAGGGGTCTCCCTACTACACCTACTTGGAGGATGATGAGACTTAGTAAGTAAGGTTATAAGTCCCTTAATCGGGGTTATAAGTATAGTTACCCTAGTTATAACCGTACTTACTAAGTCCCATGATCCTTTATGTAGGATGCCAGGGAGCCCTCCGGCGTGAAGGAGATGGGGTAGCAAGTCTTCTCCTTCACGGGGTCGCAGACAAGCGGGCAGCCGTAAGCGGTCTCAGTGGCGAGTCTCGTGAGGTTCAGGGATGTGCAGGCTTTATGGGTGCAGGGTTTCGGGCTGCTCGGGTTTACGGGTTTAGGGTTCCTGTATTTCGGGTGCAGGGTTTGAGGGCTTACCTTGACGCAAAACCTTTTACAACAACCCGAATCACCTCTGTTAGACTCTACGTCCCGAGCTGTGACTCTCCCGGCAAAACTCTTGGATGAAGAATCCTAGGGAGGGGGCCGGGCATGCGGTTGTGGGTTTAGGTGTCACGAGCCCACAACCCTTCCTGTTCTACACACTGTCCCACAGCAAACCTGAGAATCAGTTGCCGGGGAAGCAGGCATTTACATCTCTTTAAACAGTTCTGCAACAGTAAACCTTTTGCACAAATCCAAGCCTCGAGACATTAATCATAGTGACAGTGAGGAAGGTAGTCATATTCGTAATAGTAAGCATGACGAAAAAGTATAATCATTATTAAATTATTAAGGAGTACGACCACCATCGCTCATTACCATTGTTACGCCATCAATTCTACTGTCAAGTGGTTAAGCCAAACCGGCGCCTGGCTGTCTCGTGAATACAGTCAGCAGGTTGCTGCTGTGTGTGTTGCTTGCCGCTGCTGCTGCTGCTGCTGCTGCTGCTGCTGCTGCTGCTGCTGTTTGCTGTTTGCTGTTTGCTG